CTAGCAATATGCGAGGTAAGTTTGGTGGTTTGAGAACTTTAATTCAAAATGAAAATCCATCAGCTTATTATGTGCATTGTTTTGCCCATCAACTTCAATTAGCACTTGTTGCATGTGCTAAGACTCACAAAGATGTTAGTGGTTTTTTCGGTAAGGTCAATATGCTTGTTAATTTCACACGGTCTTCTAACAAGAGGCAAGAATTGCTTCGGGACAAACAAGTATCTCAATTTGCTAAATTGATTGAAGAGGGTGAGATAGAGACTGGTAGTGGATTAAATCAAGAATCGTCTATTGCTAGAGCGGGTGACACTCGTTGGGGTTCCCACTTTAGGACTCTCACTAGTTTGATGACTTTATATGGTGCCATTATTGAGGTACTTGAAGAAGTCGAGAAAGATACGTCATTTGAAAAATATGGTGAAACTATGCTTTTGCTAGATGTGCTTCAGTCCTTTGATTTTATTTTCATGTTATACATGATGGTTGAGATTTTAGGATTTACAAATGATTTAAGTGTAGTGCTACAAAAGCGTGATCAAGATCTTTTGAATGCTTTATCACTTGTCAAAGCCACCAAACAGGAATTACAAGAAATGAGAAATGATGGATGGGAAGAACTTATATCTAAGGTTATGGAAATTTGCAATAAGCATGATATTGATGTGCCTGATTTGGATGCAGCGTACGTGCAAGGGAAGAAACCTAGACGACATGCTATCACTTCTAGTGTTTCTAATTTGCATCATTATAAGCATGATTGTTTATGTAGTGTTTTAGATTTGCAGTTGCATGAGCTCAATACTAGGTTTGATGAAGAGAATACTGAACTTTTACAATGTGTTTCATGTTTGAGTCCCTCATCATCATTTGAATCTTTTGATGTGAAAAAATTATCGAGGATGGTTGAACTTTATCCAAATGATTTTGTAGATGTGCCGGAAGTGGCGGTACGACATCAGCTTCAGAATTATGTTAGAAATGTTCGATGTGATCCAAAATTTGCAAATTTAAACGGACTTTCAGATCTTTGTGCAAAACTTGTGGAAACAAAAAAATGCAACACTTTTGATATAGTTTATAAGCTTCTGAAGTTGGCTTTAGTCTTGCCAGTAGCAACTGCGAGCGTGGAACGTGTTTTTTCAGCTATGAAGTTTGTGAAGAGTCAGCTATGTAACAAAATGGATGATCAATGGTTAAATGATCGTCTTGTAACTTTTATAGAAAGAGATGTTCTTGGAACAATTAACAATGATGTTATTTTAGCTCATTTTCAAGAAATTGATACTAGACGGTTTTCATTGTAAATACACTTCATCAAACAATATTATTTTTTATTTTCAATATATTTTAGTCGATAATTTCTTTTATGTTTAGCCACACCAATATATAAAGTCTGGATCCGCCCCTGCATGCAATGAATAATATTCCATTTAATTATAATAGATCTAATTTGGCCATTCCAATTCCTTCCTCATTAACCGTGAGTCAAACATTAGAATTCAAATTCTGTCAAAAAAACATTGGAATTCAAATATAAATAAATTAACCGTGAATGAAACATTGGAATTGGAATTCAAATATAAATAAAATTCAAATATAAATAAAATAAATTAATAAATCAAATAAATAAAAAATAGTGTAAAATTATGATAGATTGACATGTCAGCAAAATTAAATGCCAAATGAATATGATAACATCATAGTGTTGATTAGTCTATTATACCCTTGGAATAAGAAAAGTTATAACATCTAATCAAAAGGTTAGACTTGGAATTTCCAAGTACTTTACTTTTAATAGATTGATAATAGATGAATATTGTTGAATTTAGTATAAAAGAAAAAGAAAAGGAAATAATTATTAAAATAAAAAATATGGATATAATTTATTTTGATAATATTGAAAAAAAAAAGAAAAATATTTTTATGAAAAGTTAAGAAGTATTTGGAAAATTAACTTGCCAAATGACATAAAAACAAAAATATATAAAGAATATGAAAAATTATGTGGACAAGCTATACTTTTTCAAAATAAAATAGATTATACAATAGAGTATGATTTAAGGATATAGATTATATTTTATTGATTGAAAGTATGAATGATAATGAATTTATAATTGATTTAGCTTTAATAGTAAATGATGAAATTTGAGACTATTTAGATGATGATTAAATTAATAAAAATAAAATTATTTCTTGAAATAATAGGGTATCAATATATTTTTGGTATCAGAGCACTAAGATTTAAATTAATTAAATTTTAAATAAAATATGAGTTGAAAAAACTAAAATTTATTTTAAAACTAGAAAATGAGTATAGTTATTGAAAGATTACGAATTATAGAACTTAATAGTTTAATTAAAAGAACAAGAGGTCAAATAAAGATATTATATGATAGATTAGACTATTATTTAATAATAGGAATTGATTATGAAATTGAAAGAATTACAAAACACCTTTTAGAATATGAAAATAAATTTGATTTTTATAAAACAAGGTTAAAAGAATTAAACGAATATAAAAATATTTGTCACTGGGATTTGCAACCAAGGAATTAGCGGCGAAAGTCAAAATTCGATCACTAAAAATCGTCACTATCATGACTTATTTTAGCTCTGAAGTGTGAGATTTCTTCAACGAGGTATGGTTTACAAAAACAATCCTCATTTCATTTATGTAGATATTGATTAGCAATAGATCACATGGAGCCGAAAGATGTAAGTTTGTAACTATGCATACTCTCTACGTTTTCTATATGTATTTGCACTCTAACTATTAAATTCCGTATAACAATTTGATGGTCATACCTTTAATACTCGTCTTGTGTTTATAATGATAGTTTGGTTTGGAGTGCGACGACACCAATTATCCATTTTTATATTATTGAAATATATCAAACCGATAGGGTCGAACTTCAATTTAAATTTGAACAATAAATTCCTTCTCAACCAAAATGTCTAAGAGAATACCACGAGACAGTCATGACACATACATAAAGTGATTATTGGTGCAAATTGAACAAAGAAGAGAACAGTGAGTGGAAAAAAGAAGAGATTTGATATTGGATGGGAACATGGTAAATAGTAATTATAGGCATCAATTTGAACAATAAATCCCTTCTCAACCAAAATGTCTAAGAGAATACTACGAGACAGTCATGACACATACATAAGGTGATTATTGGTGCAAATTGAACAAAGAAGAGAACAATGAGTGGAAAAAAGAAGAGATTTGATATTGGATGGGAACATGGTAAATAGTAATTATAGGCATCACAAAACATATATGGAATGGTTTAAATAAATTCCATTAATGCATATTTCTCACACATAACTTCTAAATGATCCCGTCAATATCATTAATGCAGAAATACAATTTTATACTCGTTTTTTATTAACTTTACACCTGTTTTTGGAGGGTGTAAATTCAACAGGTGAGAAATATCTAACGAATTTACACTAGTTTTTAATAGATAACGGATATAAATTGTTATATATACACATTTAAATCAAACAAATTACACTCAATTTGGTAAACATCGGGTGTAAATATAAGATAATTTACACCCTTTTTAAATAGAAAATAGGTATAAATTATTACATATATTTAAATCAAACAAATCTAAATCCCCATTTCCTAAAAATTAAGTGTAAATAGATACAAGGTTACACCATTTTTTAACTGAAATAGGGTATAAATACATGCTGAGTTACACTATTTTTTAATTAAAAACAGGTATAAATTATTACATATATATATATTTAGATCAAACAAATCTACACCCAATTTTTATCAAAATCTGGTGTAAATACATGATAACTTACACCTTTTTTCAATAGAAATCGGGTGTAAGTATATGCTAAATTACACCATTTTGTAATAGAAATCGGGTATAAATACATGTAAAGTTACACCATATTTTAGTTGAAATCGGATGTAATTACATAATAAATTTACACCCTATTTTAAATATCCTGGATGTGTAATATGATTATAATATTATATTTAATTTATTTACAGCTTATTATTTTTTAATAGCCCGGGTGTGTAATATGATTATAATATTATATTTAATTCTATTTTACTAACTCATAATATTTTTTCATATTGACCAAAAAAATATACTAAATCATATTTTTTTACTAAAAAATCATAATATTCAACAAAATATTCTTGTAACAACAAAATATTCAACCAGGTCATTTCACGTCCCTTTCTTCATATATAATTTTCCTTCTTTCGCATTTGTTTCGAAACATTTTTATATTTTCTTGGTCCTTATCTTCTTCAACCATTTGCATTTGATCTTGAAGATTTTGCTCCTCAACCTTTTTATCTTCAAACCATTTGCAAAAACATAAAACAATGGACGTGGCCACTGAACATATATTGTGTAATGCTAAACAATGGAATGAATGAGTAATCTAAAAAGCACTTAACAAAAAAACATAAAACAAAACTACTGAACTGGCTGCAATATAATTTTACATGATCCGATTTTCCGTTTTTTAAAGTTGTATACTCTTCAGCTTGTCAATAATTTTTTAACTAAACTACATGCATCAATCATCAAACTAGCATTCCTAATCATCGCAATTACTCTTGCAAATACTTATTCTGAAATTTACAAAATATAACTACTTACACTTCAATTTCCAATACTAACAACATAAAGCTCAGATTGTATAAACTTACTTGTGGTAGATTGACTTATCCTGGTTGTATTTCCTACCCAATGCCATCAAAGATGGCTCAATAATACATCCCTGAAGCCTCAAAACAAGATGCAATGTTGTATTCTCCTCGGGGAACTACCTTGTGCTTGCATCACTGGGTTCATGTTTGGTTGTTCATTTAATCTTCCTTATTTGGATTCCAGTGTTGTCGCCAGGGACAATGGCATCAAAATTCTCCGATTGCTTAGTCATTGGTCATACTAAAATAAGTATCCGATTGCTTAGTATGGGAATGTAGCCCATACTAAAATCAGTTGAAAATATTATTTGGGAATTATTCTGAAACAATCCAGCATCCCTATTTTGCATAATAGCCCCTCGGGATAAGCGTGTGATGCTTGCAGATGCTGCAGCATAAAATCAGATTAACATTATATACATGGCATAAGCAAACCGTGCTTAATATACTTATACATATATACATTAAAGTTTGTGTTTTTAGGTGTCATTTATAGAGGGCAATCAGCTTAAGAACATTAACGGAAAAGGGCTAGAATTAGAACTACCACTAGGTGTTTCGAAACTAACAAATGTCATTCTAATGACAAAAAACTAAAAACCAAAAAATAAAAAAGGGATCAGAGCTGCTGCTACTAACGGTCATATTGGCCATTTCCACATGTGAAACACTGCATGGTCCATTGTTCTCACCTTCAAGATAGATTGAATCAGAGTGATTATCCCAATTAACAGTTGAGTTGAAAAAGTCTGAAAGATCTGTCTTATTTGTACCATATTGAAATAATTCATTGTTGGCTTGATGGTAAAATTCTGGTGGAAAATGAGCATGGACCGGGGAGACTAATTTATCATCCAATAGCACCAATAGTGGATCATAAAAAATGTCAAAGTTCAACAACTGGTCCTCTTGAAGTAGTTAACATAGAGTAAAATCAACAAATTCATAGACTTTTAACCAATAGAGAGATCAGAGATCATACAGATAAAACAAAAAAGGAAAGGAACAAAATAATAGATTAAAATTATGTTACAGTTAACCCGTCAAACCTCTGCAGCCGATACTTCTACAATTTGATATTGTGCACCAGTAGCATTACATGCATCGTTATACCAATCAGATGGGATTATAACATTAGATATTGCTTAATCAGAGTTTTCAAGGATATCTGCTCGGTGCTTATCATCCCCTGTGGCCTGTAAAGAAGTTACAGGAACCAGATTCGGATCAGACTGTATTTCTTCTGGAGAGTAATTGACAGTTGTAGGAGTTGAGGCAGTCTGCTCGGCTTCACCACAGTTTGAATTATTGAGACTCTCATCCTGCTTCTTACACAGGTGACAGAGGACATATGAGTTATGGCATAAGTCAAATCAACCAAGCTGAAAAGTTAGCATCATGTAATTGCTTAATTATTTATAAATTGCAGTAGCTTTACATTAACTAGGACAAGATAAAGGTAATGAGAAGTTATAAATACTATAATGTGAAAGTAATAAGCGACAGAGGACATATGGGTCTACTTTAACCCAACAATAATAAATATATACATGCTAAGGTAAATGAAGTCTAAAAGGGTGAATTGAGCACTAATTGTAGAGTTAGATTTTCATGCATTGCAAAATGTTTCATTAACTAACTCTAATTGTAGTGTTTATATTTGTTGCACTAAAACTGTTAGTAGCTTTAACTAACTCTTCATATGAGAACTCCACTGACTTGTCATTGAAAAAATTGTCAAACTTGGAGAAGCAATAGTAGTAGATTCATATGTTTCATCCTTGATGCTTCCATAACCTAAATCAATGGAACAAATTATATACTCATATATACAGTGCAAGTGAATCACTTTTTGAGCAATGTTTGAGGTGAATGTGAAAGGAAGTAGACATAAAGAAAGGAACACACGTGTCTGATTTCAATGCTCAAGCTTGTGCTTAATTTCATGCGGTCCAGAACTCGGTTCGTGAATTATATCCATAACAGTCTTAACATCTTGGAAGAAATCATCATCCATTAAATATAACTGAGTACTATTCTTATCACAATCATCATCGTCTTCGGCGTTGTGATTATCATGATCGTCTTCATCACTCAAGGTCTCGTCCAATCTCAATGCAGGAGCATTAGTTAACATTCCAAGGCTTTTGGTTGAGGATTCAGTAGAAAAGAACCTAACTAAGAAACTAAATTTTGGTGGAGCCAAAAAGTGCCATTGCTTGAATAGTCAAAATCATTGAAAGAACCATTCACAAGAGGCTTTTGAACTATATCACAGTGATTAACAATGACAGGGTTTTGCCTTACGTGTAAGAGCACAATAGAGTAAACAGATAGGTTAGATCTGATTCTGATCATGATTGCAAAATAAGGAAATCAATACATCCAGATTGGGTGCAAAAATATGGTTTTTCAATAATTTAAGACTTGAGCCAAAGGTGTTTGGGAAAATGACTCAAAGAAGTTCCGCACACAAAATGGTGTAAAATATTGTGCTGTGAGTCAATATCATGTCTACCCCTATCCCCAGTCTTATGAAAATCATTTCCAGTGAGTCAAGGAAATCGATCTTATTGCTATCATCATCTCGAGCTGAATCTGAAACATGTCTGTTATCATATTTTTCGCAACTAACCGGGTCCAACTTGGTGAGCTTTCAATCCGATTACTGTCAGTTGTAACCACTCTTTCATTATTTAAAGTTACATGGGAATACATTTGTTACTTTAAACTTATGTCTACTGGTAGAACATTCTCCTTCAAGGTACTATGTTGCATCACTTATTCTTTCAACGAACTCTCATTCTGACTCACCTACTCACCCATAATCTTATTATCTTACCCCATGCTAGCTTTCTCCATGCTCACACCTTTGTGATGCAGTGAAGGGTTACCTTTTTCCACATAGTGCATATGATTCCTAGGAACCACCACTCTAGCTGCACGACCTTCTTCTGCCGGCATTTTCTTATTCAAATTTTTGCAAGAACTTACAGAATACGCAATTGTTATGCAAGTGAGCACAGGACTCCGGTAATATTTTGCATGTTATAGCCATATAGAATGCATAACCATCTCTTTCGACCATAGGTTCTTCAAATATTCGCTGCGACCGCAATTGAGGTAACATCAGCCACATTAGATGCAGTAAACACGAACCAGGTAAACATCAAACACATTCAACACCACAATTCAGCACAATATTTAAAATTGCAGCACAAGCAACAGTTATCATTACTATCTCGATTAAAAACCTAGAATACTTAAACAAACAATAAGATGAATAACTAAATCAACATATTGAAATATTATACCTGCAGCAGTTGTGGATTTTAAGGATGAATCCATTATTTGGGGTTTGAATGCAAAATTCAGTTCAATTCCATACCCGTTGGGATAGAATGTAGACTTGGACTTAAACAAACAATAAGATGAATAACTAAATCAATGAAGACGACGCATCGGCAGAAGGAGCGGAACAGGAGTTGATGATCTGGTGAATAATCGAAAGGGTTTAGGTGAAGAACAGTAGAGAAATGAAGGAATCATGTTTTTACAAACGAAAGTTTTTGATGACGGAGTCACTAGGTAGTGAATCGAAAAAATCGAAATACGCAAAGGAAATGCGAGAAAGGAGTTGAGAAAATGGTTGGATTTCTCGCTCCTCAGTCTGTCCCAATTCTTCGGTGCGTTTGCACTCTTTCAGGCGATGAGAGATGGGATTCGGAGAAAAAGGTGAATGCGATTGAGAAATGGGTTTCGAAGAAAGGTGTATAGATTGTTTTTGAATTTGTTAATGTTTGTAACTCTTAAAAATCCAAATCTCATATGGATTCACGGTATACTCCTATCAAACTTTTTTATTTATTTTAAAATACGAATTAATTTTTTAATTGGTTAAGATTCACCTAATTATAATTATAAATATAGATTAATAATATATATTAATTTTTAAAAATGAATTCTTAATTATAATAAATCGATCAACTGATTATTTAACTTCAATTATATAAATAATAACAAAAAAAAGTTTTAGAGATGTCTACCATTGACATTTCATATATATATATATATATATATATATATATATATATATATATATATATATATATATATATATATATATATATATATATATATATATATATATATATATATATATATATATATATATATATATATATATATATATATATATATACGCTTTGACATACACATTACATATTATTCATAGTAGAATTTTTTAATTGAAAATAACATCTCTAATTTGTTCTTATTTATAAAAATAATTATATGAACAATAGATTTATCTTGTTTATAAAAATATTTTTAAATTATTCTCAATTGTAAAAAAAAAATTGTATAAACAATATACTTTTAATGTTTATAAAAATATTTATAACTTTTGCGAAACAATATAGTTTCAACTAAATCAAAAGAAATCGGATACAATTAAAGATCATATAGAATATTTTCAGATATGATATAATTTTCAATTTTTAAAAAAATATATCAACAGACTTGTATCAGAAAGGAGTGGGTGATCCATTTTGCTACCCCTACTTTAATTGACTTTGATTAATTAAACTAAATATTTTAAAATGTTTATTTTCACTTCATTTTTGTAAACTATAATACAGTTAAAATTCCCGTTAAGATTTTACCGTTCCCTTCTCACAACTAGGCTTTTGTCTATTGTTTAGATTATGCACACAAAAAATGTCCCGATTATATAACTCCTTTATAACAAACCGACATATACTAAAAATTATCCTTCAATCACCCTTTACTTCTCTATTGATAGCTTCAATTTTTTGCTTTGACTCCATATGCAATCTTTTCAACTTCATCGGTATCTTTTCCCATCCTCTTCTTGATAGCTGAGAAGGATGTAAAAGGTATATTTAGTCAACTTAAAATATTTTTAACTAAAAACAATAGAGGAATTGCGTTTAAACAATACCTTTCATGGCAGATGCTTCCTGCAATGTAATAACTTTTGATTCCTCATTAGCTTCCTGCAAACAAAAGGTGTATTTAGAAACAATTTTTAATGAGACGGTGCGGCTACAAAGTACTAAATAATGAAGATAATGGATATACATTTAGCTTTTGAAGTAGCACATATACCTTCTCGATTTGTTTATTGGCATCTTGGATACATTCGCGATAACCACTCCAACTTCAACCACTGATATTTTTCTCCCTTTCGTTAACAAATTGCGATTAGAAAACCCCTAGGTTAAATCTCAAATATCTTTAACAATGAATATTTAAACTCGAAGTAAGTCAATATTTTCCCTAAATAAAATCCATTTCATCATTTCATACAACTCTTTCCAGCAAATTGAAGCCAATGCATACTCAAATCATCCCATTCAAACAAAATTTCAAGCTACAACTAAATCACATAACAAATTATTGTATTGTAATAATTCGCACAAACAAAGAAATAGAAAAACAAACCTTGTAGGAAATGAAGAAGAGACTTGTGAAGCTGAGAAGGCATTATTATCCCGAGAAGAAGACGAAGATTGAGCATAAGAAGGAGCAGTTAAAGCCAGTGGCGACGATTGAGTGATTCCAACCTTCTCTTTGAAGTCTTTAAGCAATGTAACTCATTTCATCGTTCTTCCCTCTTTCGATCCTTTAAACATTGACCTGATTCTCAATATTCACCAGATCCAACCAATTTCCCTTCCTCCCTCCGAAAAGGAAAAAGAAAAATACCATTCAAAACCAAAAAATCACACATAAAAGACGAAATCAATATTGCAGTTGCGAAGAATCGCTTCTTTTCAAAAATCAAAAAATGATGGAAATGATGATGAGAATCAGGAAGATCGATCTATAATCTAGAACTTTAAAACCTTCTCAACGGTGGGACGGCTACCGACAGTGGTTTAGAGAGGTGACTGTAGTGGTTTTGGTTCATTAGGATTTGAACGGTATGTAACCATATAAATATGGTTTAGAAGAAAAACAAATGGTTTCATCTTGGGAAGAAATTTTGTAGGTTGTAAACCGTGAAATTATCATATCAATACTCAATATTACGACTACCTGTTCAGATTTTGGTGCATGTATAATTGTTGTTGGAGAAACGTGATAACCATAATAAATAATAGTGGAATAATTAGTAGAGTTAGTGGATTAAAAATAATATTAATTCCAACAAAATTTATAAGTGTGCCACATCAATAACATTTAATGTCAAATCAATCTAAATCAAGCATTGGGCAAAAAGTCATATTTATCCCTTGTAATTAGATAAGATATGGGATTTAAGCAGAGGGCTTATCGTGTAATTTCAAAGTACTTTAACCTTTATATATTTATAATAGATGTTATTAGGTTGTAAACTTAATAAAATAGATTAGATAATTAATACTTAATAGAATAGAGTGTGATTTGTAACTGTGTTTAGATTAATATTTTGAGTTATAAAATTAAATAGTTTTTTTAGTCTATTTAAATTTACATCCGTTTTAAATTTAACGGGAGTAAATGAGATTTAATTATAATAATATTTTTAATTTATATTCGTTTTTAAAAAATAAGGTGTAAATTGTCACATGCTAATATTTAAAATGACACTTCATTTATAAAATCGTCACCGGATTTCTTATTTACACTCATTTTTAGTATATCAAATGTAAATTTTAAAATTATATTGTTCTTTTTGTACTAATGTATGCTCCTTCTTCAACACAACAAACAACCCCGCCACTCATACATCATGAAAATTTTCAAATGAACACATCACAATTTCAATCCTAGACATCTCCGATCTTCCAACAAACACATCATCACACCCAAACCACATAATAACACACATTTTATGTCACCTCATCTCAACAACCAACTCCTCACACCCCAACCCCTCAAACAAACTACCACTATCACCAACAATATCAACAACAACTCACACTTCGACCACTCATATAATACACTCCAATTCTTTATCTAACTTTGACTACTCAAACCCCAATCTCAACAACAAAATAATGATCTATCTTTCGACTCCACTTCATCTCTTCTAAGACATCAAACCGAAGAGTTAGGCAAGAGAAAGCACACAAAAAAGTATCAGAATTGAAACATGCGGTCATTTTACTAGACCTTAATATGTATTTTATCTTTTCAACAATATTAATAAAATTGTTTTTTTTACTTCTTTAATTGTTTAATAGTCATAATTAAGAAAATAATATAAAAATTATTACAATTATATTAAATCTTTAAAAAAAATTATAGAAAAAAAATAACTGAAAAAATTATTAAAAAATTATAACAATCATATTAAATATTTAAAAATTACTATTAAAAAAACTAATTAACAATATTAAATTAATAAA